AAAAAATACAGTTTTCTAGGTCTATTGTTGCACATCCCATACCTTACCGATCATCCACATAGGATGATTTTTCACTCAGGAGACCATTACGACAAATGAATCTTCTGTATGTTTCGTCAATTCGTCATAAAACACTTAAATGTAGAATACATGTATTCTTGATATCATTTTGTGTCATGAATATCATGGTGGGAATCTTCCAAAATGTTCTTGGTAGACTATTAGTACGATCTTTACATTTGACATGTCGACATATGTTGTACTAGTTGATTGTGGCTAAGACTATTTTTGAGGCATAATTTGTTGTTCAACTGAACCACACATTCGTAGTAGTACACATCTAGAACAGATGTCAAGTGTGAATTTTGAGCTTGTGTATAATTTCCCATTATCGGCAAATAGTCTCATGTTTTTTTCAACGGTATACTCTTAAATAGTAGCACCATCTTAAAGGAATATATTAATAGGTTAACATTATCTGCTTCATTTACCTTGTGTTTTAAAAAAAGACTGACTGAGCGAAGAAATATATTTCTGTTCAATTAGGTCTTCATCTTGGGCTCTCCACTAATATACAGGTTTACAATCTGATCAAATTACCAATCACGTGGTGTTTCGGAAATGATGATGTAAATAATCAATAGAGTTACTAAAATAGGAAATATGAATATTGATAGAAACAAGAAGCGGAAGAGGTTCATAAAATAAACGTAGAAGTTACATCATGTTGACGGCCACAGTAATGAAAGTTTTTTAAGCCAAAAGTATCCTTGAAACTGCAGACACTTAATAGTCTATGAATTAATAGGTTGTGGTGAGGAAATTTAATCGTAGAGGTAGTTTGTTGGCAATAATTAATGGTAGGTATAGTCCTGCATCTGTTACCCGTGTTGTTTCGAAATGTTGAAGTTACCATGTCACTTATTGTTTTGAATTCTATTATAGTATCATCTTTATTTGTGTATTTACTCTGTATCATAATCTTCTGGAGCATTAACTAATTCGCCGACTGTATACCTTGGTTTCATGGTAGTTTGAATATCTATAGCATCTGGATCCAAGAGGAGAGGGGCATAATCTGTTCGACCGATGGAAAGACCTCAGCGGAACATCTGGATTTCACCAATGATGATTTATGTCTGATGTCTTGTCCCACAAACTAGATCTACATGCGGAAACCAACAAGTTGACAGAAGAGGGGAGGCAGCAAAGACGCGACTTCAGGTGAACGTAGAGAAGGCAGACGTTATGAAGATACCCAACAAACAACAACAACAACAAGCACCAATCACCATCAATGAGAGAAATCTAAAGGAAGTTGTCTCTTTCACACGCCTAGGCAAGGTAGCATCGTTTCAACTTCAGGCGGTGGTGGCACAGACGAGGATGCCGAAGCCAGGATCAGAAAGACAGCAAGACAGGCCTACATTAATCTGACATCAGTGTGAAGATCTACTGCACTGCACTGCACTCAGCATAAAGCGTGAGCAGATCCGGATTTTCAACACTAATGTCAGTCAAGTCAGTGCTTCCATGTGATGGTTCAGAGACTTGACAAGGGGTGTTACGTAAAGCATTTCCAACAAAATGCACACAACATCAACAGCTGCCGCCTAAGCTCCCTCACTCGATACTGACACTGAAGATCAGATGGCCAGAATAAGAAGAATGAGCAACAAGGAACTCACTCTAGCGACGAACCAACCAAGAACCTCTCACCCAACAAATATGCAGAAGAAAGTGGAGATGGATTGAACTGGACTGGACATACACTGAGAAGACCGTTTGGAGACACCACGTGCCACGCCAGGCCCTGGAGTGGAACTCGAATGCGAAACGACGAGTTGGTCGTCCGAGGGTGACGATATGGAGGAGATGGTGTGAGTAAGAAATGAAAGGTTGTGGGCAGTGATGGAGCCAGGTTAAAAAGAATGCAGAGAAGAGAGTGAAATGGCGACGTGCTACTGAAACCCTATGTTCCACTAAGAACCCGAGGGACACAAATAAATGAAATAAATATTGATTGAAGTATTGATTAATGTGATGCTTCTCTGTCAACATTACTTGTCCACTTTAATGAGCCTGTCATGTTTTACTTGTCTCAATGGATTTTTGGAGTGGAATCCAACTTTTCAGTCTTCGAAAGTATAGTCTATGCTGAGCTGTAATAATTCACCCTTGTTACGGCTCATTGATTTACCTTTTGAGTCACGGGTTCGAACATCTCTCTTTCTATCTAGGTTTGGTCAGCCATGTTGTATCATTAGTCATCACACAGTAGGTTGGAATCAAAGCCTACTGGATGTATATGCTGTGTGGATTGAATTTTTGATTCGATTTAGTTATCTAACTATTCTAGCCTATGTTTTCTAATGTAACAAGGAATTCGTCATTCTACTAACACTAAATGAGAAGATTTATAAGCCTACATGAAGTTGTCCAATCTCTATACTTTTCAACACAGATTATGAAAGTGATATAAATGAATGATTGAGTTTTTCACATCGTGCAACTCAGGCATGATTCTTATCTGACATAATAAACTCTCTTGATGTTTGATATTTAATTACTTTTCTGTTCTTTCGATAATCTGTATGGTGTTTCCTAATGATCCGTTGGTAAAAGAATAACCTTGATCTTTTGAATTGACGTACAAATCTTTGAAGCCAGTAATTTGTTGAGAATGAAGGTTAATAGATAGATTTTAGCATCGTGTCGGATCTAACATATGAACTTTAAGAGTCACTGGAATCTTCATTCATTGAAAGATGTCACTGCTAGAAATTCGTACTGTTTTGTGGTTATTATAGACTTCAGGATCAAAATTTGACGTGATGTAGTTGAATAAGTTGAGCATTCGGTAAATGAATTATTATTATTTTTTATTTATTTGTCCCTTGGGTTCCTAATGGAACATAGGGCTTCAGTAGCACGTCTCCAGTGCACTCTGTTCTCTGAAATCTTTTGAACCTGACTCCACGATAGCCCACAAGCTCTCATTTCTTCCCAACACGTTCTCCTCCATGTCACCCTCGCCTCGGACACCCAACTCGTCGCTTCCCATCTGGGTTCCACTCGAGTGCCTGGCCTGGTGCGTGATGTCCCCAGTCGGCCTTCTCAGTGTATGCCTGGTCCAATCCATTTCCATTACCTTCCACTGCATATTAGTTGGGTGATAGGTACTTGGTTGGTTCGTTGCCAGCAAGCCAGCCAGCCAGCCAGCAGAGTTCCTTGTTGCTCATTCTTTCTCGCAATCCATCTGAGCTTCAGTAACGAGCCATTGTAGGCAGTTGTTGATGAATATCTGTAGTTTGTTGGAAATCCCTTTGGTAACGCACCAAGTCTCTCAACCATCAAATATAAGCACTGACTTGACGTTGGTGTTGAAAATCTGGATGTTGTTCCACATGCTGAGTGCAGAAGATCTCCCCACTGGTTTCAGGTTAATGAACGCCTGTCTTGCTGTCTTTCCGATCCTGACCTTGACGTTGTTGTCTGTGCCGCTGCCTGTAGTTGAAGCAGTGCTGCCGTGCCTAGATAGGTGAAGGAGGCTACTTCCTTTAAGCTTTTTCCAGTTGATGGTGATTGGAGCTTGTTGTTGCTATTGTTGTTGGTTGGGTATCTTCATCACCTCTGTCTTCTCTACCAATGGATTATAAGTGAAATATATTTATAAAATCTCAATAAGGTAAAAATATAGGTTCTTGACGTCTCGTGAATTTGTGGAGATCGTTTTTTTCACAGAATAAAACTCATACCAGTTTTATTTTTGTAGGCTTTATTCTTTGTAGAAGCGCTTTCCATGAAGTTGCGAAACATCAGAAATTTATTTTTCTACCTCATTGGAATTTTACAAGTGTATTTCATTTGCAGTTTTCTGGTTGGTTGTGTTCTTTATAGAACATTGTTACAATAAACGTTATGCTGATGAAATCACAGTTTGACAGGTACAGATAGAATCATCGTAGAACTTCAGAGTAGTATATAAAGAACAGGTGAACAGAATGAAAGTGATATCAAAGTCAATGTTATATGAGAGAATAAGCAATTTTAAGATAAAGGTTAGTGAGAATATTCAAGTTTTACGAGATGTCAAGGGTTAATACATCTACGTCATTGTGACCAATTTTCAGCTCTCACCGAGAGTTCTCAACCACTGATTCCTTTCGTCTTGGGGACCCTAGCCACGTAGTCTACATCTCTCAACACAGCTCAGACCAACAGTCAGAGACTTCATCAACTGATGCTAGGTCTGGTTACCCTGGACCCTGTTTCAACCTAACTTTACTTCCCCTTGAATATCTCGTTGAAGTCGGAGTAACTCGGTATATGCAGTATATATCCAAGCCACCTCAACCGACTAGGGTTAACAACCTCTTCAGTCGACATGATTATCTTGCCTAGTACCCTCCACGATGAATCCCTCCAATGAGAGTAATGCTACGAAGACATCTGTAATCAAAACGCTGCAAGTGCTTCGTATCTCCTGATTTTAACGGCCATGTCTCAGTCGTATAACAGGATAGAATGGACCGAAAAGCAGTATACTCGTCATTTGATAGAATGTTGGATATCTCGCTAATCGGTGCCGCAGATAACGTTAGGTTGACAAGTGCTAGGTGGGCTTTCTGTACCTGAGCTGATATTTCGTCAGCAACCAGCCCTTTTGGTGGGCTGATGCAACTCCCTAAGTAAGTGGAATGGTAGACATATTCCGCCGCTTCATTCTCTATCATTCAACTCGGAGTAATTACAGACCCGGTCCTGAGGCATCATCTTACATTTGACAGGTGCAAGACATGCCAAGTATACTCAGATTTCTACTCAACACGTTCATAATGTGAGACGTTTTCTGTGTGTTAGTCTATATGTTGACATTTTGTAAATTACCGAATTCGATGTATTAACTCACCTTCATGTCGTTATTATTGGTATTATCTCATTATCTTTGATTAATCTTAATCGTTCATATTCTCACCTTTTATCAAATATTCTCCTAGTAAGCGTAAAGGTGCATTCAACGATCGTCAAATTCACTATCTAACCAATTATCATGCACACTCTCGTCTTCGTCGCAATAATCATCGATGTTATATTGTATAATTAAGGTATTTGTTCAACAATCAAAAGAGCAATACGCACATTCAACATGTTTGTGTATATCGCTACCCCCTATGTTAACTCATTTATATGTATCTGCATATGCAGTACTGTATGCGTACACAAATACGGTGATGTTTTCTCCCTTGTTCAGTGCTTTTTCTGCGAATGAACTTATTTGTGTGTGTGTGTGTGAGTGAGTGAGTTTATTTGTTTTTAATTTGATCACAGTTATTTCGCACTCTATTTCACCACTTACACTATCATAGTCTTTTTTGTGAACATTGATTTTATCAGTAATCATTTTCTACTAATGTTTATTGTCTTGATGAGTCCTATGCCTATGTGTTTCTGTTTCAAGTTGAAATGTGCGCTTTTATAATATTCAGCAATGATGCAATATGCAAATATTTCAACTCTATTTTGTTTACTTTATTAATTTTGCTTTCGTGTCACTTTATTCTCCACTTTTTTTCTTCCATGTGTATACAGTTTTGTCACATGTTGTTTTTATTTATTAATAATTGCTGAGATTAGAATGGTTTTCGATTGATTTTGTGTTAGTTGTTATTTTCCTGTCTCTTTTCCACATCATACGTTATTCTTTTCACATGTATTACTTTAGTATTCTGTTTAAAATTTCATTTCCTAAATCGTATGTATATCCTGCCATGTGTGTGTGTGTGTGTGTGTGTGTGTGTGCAGAATTATATTTCCAAGTGTCTGCTAGTCACTTTCATCAGAAATTACATAAGCTTACTTTAAACAGTGTTTTGTAGAGCTGTTTTATGTGCCTTTTGTGTTCTTTTCTGCGTAATCAAAGTGCTTTAAGTATTTTTCCATAATGATAATAATAATGCTAGTCGTATTGCATGTCTATTCACAATGGCTTTCGTCCCTTGTGCACATGTGCGAGTGTAAATGCTTTTTCTAACTTGTGATCAGTCATTAAGTGTACGTCTCTTTCTGTCTTAAAGTCTTGTGGTTGTAGTCGACATATTTCAGTGAGTCCAACCTTAGTCACTTTAACATGTTTTGATTTTTCTTCACTGTTACTACGATAACTTTATTCTCCTCCATTCGAGCCTTTTGTGGAGTTACTTCTCTTTTTCAGAGAGAATTTTTAAGTTCTGAAAAATATAAAAAGAAATTGTCGCTGTAGATTATTGTGTTTTATTTTCACAATCTGTAGGTTGAATTCTTTGTAACTAACATTGAAAGAAATGATATCCAAGACGTATTATGCGCTTGTCTGTCTATTTGCCTATCCTACTTGCTTTAAAACCACTGACTCTTCCAATATAAATATGTGCATTGTTCCGAGCATATTCCGAGCGGATATGATAGGCACGCCTAACTGACATCTAACTCCGTACGCAAGAGCAACCGACTGTGACCCGGGATGAATAGAGGAGAAGACCGAAGCTGGGTGGGAGAGTTTATTCTACCGAGAATAACAATCAATAAATTCCAAAAACACGTGAGTATGTATACACATGAGATATGACCTTGTCCGCAAATTGAGGCATTAACATAAGAATTAACCAACCAGCAAACTACTTTGTAATGGGGGCGGAAAATAAACTGCTAGTCATGCTATAAAAATGATGTGAGAATGACAAAAATGTTCAGATCAATAAGAATGTTTTATGAAAGAGTGGGGCCTTCCAACATGTATAGGCATATGTTTTCTCGTTGAGTAATGTAATGCATGTACTTGATGATTACAGACAGTGATATGATTTTCAAAGGCAGTTTATAATCAACAAAATGTAACACCTGATACTCGTGCCCCAGTGGATAACGCTTTGACGTTTGAAGTGTTGGATACTGAATTCAAGTCTCAGTTTGAACATCACTCACTGCGATGTAAGTACATCTGACTGACAAGTCCTAAATAGAATGAAACGCGCGTCGACCAGGATTCCACTGCTGGCTAACAGATTACAAAAGAAATTGTTTTGGTATGGATGTAGGATTTAGTGGAAAACATGGACTTATAAAATACTAGTTTGAGTAAAGCTTTATATATGAACACAAAAGTAAGCTAAACTATTTAGGATTGTAGACATAAAGAGGAAGTTCAAAAATTGGAAGGTTTCATGTTAAAGGACACTTGGAAATCCGTTATTCCAAAAGGAGTTTAATTTTAGTGGTAGTATCTGTTATTTCTAAACTCAACCTAAGTTAAATTTTGAGGAGGTTGTGGAGATTTGGAAATATTTCAAGTTGTTATTCATCGAAGACTGACATCAGTTGGAGGAACAAAGGAAACCTGGGAGCACTGGACAGCTGTTTCGTCCTAGTATGGGACTCCTCAGCAGTGCGCACCCACGACCCCACCAGCAGGGATCGAACCCGCGACCAGCCCGTTACCATTGAGCCACTGGGTCAGAATCCAATGCTCCATACTAGGACGAAACAGCTGTCCAGTGCTCCCAGGTTTCCTTTGTTCCTCCAACTGATGTCAGTCTTCGATGAATAACAACTTCAACCTAAGTTGTTTCATCTAACTTGCTACCCCTTTTAGGATCTAGAAGGTTCGAAGTCTGAAGTCTTTTGATAGGCTATTGAGAGTCCGTTACGTAATCGAAAATGATTTATTCATGTCCGTCATATGGTTCTCTTAAAGTAAGTATTGAAGGTCTTATTTGCACCTTTACTCAACCATGAGCACTGTAGATAAAATTCCTGTAGCAGTGTCCAATGTAACTTACTTCACAAGCGTAATCTTGGTGTCACTATTGGACATGTGGAAAATCTGGTTTGTAATTTTGCACCATTAGAAGTCCGTTGAATGAACCTACGTAGATTATGAAGTAATATCTCACTGATCTTATCTACTCTAAATTGTAACCACTTGCATAATATAATCATAAAAGTTCAGACTATACTACTTAGTAATATCCTGAAGGGATTCGGGCTCCGAGTTCGAACTAATTACTGTAAAGATGTATGAATATAATCCCAGCATGTATAATAACTTGAAATTACCTTTTTCCTCTACTTCAGTAATATATTTCCTGGTGAATCTATCCGAATGACCGTTTCTGATTATTAATTTGGGTTAAGTTATCGATCCGGTAATTCTTATCAGACTTCCCCATACTGAAAGGAGATCAGTCCAGAAGAAATGTGTACTATCCCGTCCACTAGTGCTAGAATACGCAGATAACATAGTCCTGTTAGGTGAAGATGTAGAGTCTTCTGAACACTTTGAGTGGCAATTTGAGAATGTTTGGGAGGTGTTTCTCACCACCCAAACGCAAATTATTTCTCTAGGATTGGTCTTCAACGGTGCCCCACCACGGCTAACAATAGAGAGGGTAGTGCTTGAGTGTGTCGATCACTTCACTTACCTGGGAAGTAAGATCACCTCTACTCTGGTGGTTCAGTTGCCGATGAAATCTCTACACGAATACAGAAAGCTCAACTGACTTTCGCCAACTAACACCACCTACAGCGCCACCTTGATATCCGATTGTCTATTAAGGATGGCGTGTATTGCACAGCAGTCCCCTCTGTTCTACTGTATGGCTGTGAAACATGGTCATTGTAGGTGGAAGACATGAGAAAGCTTCAAGTGTTTGACCAGCGTTGCCTTCGTAGTATAGGCTGCCGTATTCCATGGTGTCACCATGTGAGTAACACAGAAGTCAGGTGTAGAGTTTTAGGGAGTTGAGGTAAATTAGTTGACGATGTTGTTAACCTTTATCGACTGAGATAGCTGGTTGGGACATGTGTTACGTATGCCTAGTCGCCAATTGCCTCGTCACACAATGTTGGTCGAAGTAGGTTCAGGTTGGAAGAGGCCCGAGTTGTACAGACTAAAACGGGGCATAAATGTATGAAGTCTTTAACTGTTGGTTTTAGTCATGTAGAGAGGGCGATGCAGACTGCGTGGTTGGTGTCCGTGGGACAAGAGGAACCAGTGGTTGGAGCCTGACTCTAGGTGATATGGCTGAGAACCGAAGTCAGTGGTGCAGATGTATACACACATTATCCTCATCTTAACGACGTTATACCTAATCTCACTATTTTCTCATTCTTCCTTTCTCTCTTTTCGTAGTTTGTATTTCTTCTGACTGAATTTTCTTATCATCATCTGGCACTTTATTGACATTTTACTTGATATACTAGTTGAAATGAGCTGTGGCAACTCGGTCAGTAATACCTGGTCCTATTTTGATTTGGATGGATGGACCACTAGTACGTTCAGTAAGTAGGAAGAATTTCGGTAAAGTTTTTCTTCAGTATGAACAGACTTTATACACACAATGTAAGGATATGGCTCATTGGTTTAGTCAGGTGAGTTTCAACTGATGGATTACAGGTTCAAATCCCCCTCCGCCTACCGAGGTTTGAACAGCCAGGTAGTATCATTGGCCGTCACACAATATTTTTGACTCACTGCCTGCTGAACGGATGTGTGCAAGGTTGCTTAGTGCCTATATAACAGTAAATATATCACCCTCTTGCCATGTACTCTGCCTGTTACCGAAATACACCGCACTTACTGAGATTTACTAGCATAACAGAATTTATTAATAAGTCATGAGTGACATCTTTCCCTATGGATATTAGTAAGGTTTGAGCTATGTCGCATAGTGTCTAACTTCTCATTATGTTATATGTTGTCGACTAAACTCCTAAAAAATTACATCATAGATCTCACTGAGGCATTTGTACACGTAGCCTTCTTTTTTAAGCGAATCGGAAGAAAGTTTAAGATTTTCAAATACACCTAGCTAACGATTTGTATAAAGCTTGAGACCCACAACAATAGATTTTCCTTGACTGCAATCAAAATAGCCCACAAATTTATATTTAACAACTTCATCTCAAATAAAACATGAAAAGAGAATTAATTGAAAAGCATATTATTTTAACAGATGTATGAACAGTATAATTGCTTGTATTATACCGTCATTGATTGGACCGAATTGATCGGTTTCTATTGGCATATAGGCTCCTGTGAGGATGCCTCGATATTACCTGTGTTC